GACCTCATCTCTACAATAAATCAAAAATCAGCCGGGTGTGGTAGCGCACTCCTGTAGTTCTGGCTTCTTGGAAGGCTGAGGCAGAAGGATCGCCAGGGCCCAGTAGGTCAAGGCTGCCACTGCACTCTAGCCTGGGCAATGGAGTGAGACTCCAACTCAAAAAAAAACCAAAAAACAAAACAACAAAAATCCCTCATTTTTCTTTTTTGAGTCAGAGTCTCACTCTGTCGCCCAGGTTGGAGCGGCACGCTCATGGGCCTCACAGCCTCGACCTGCTGGGCTCAGGCGATCCTTTTGTCTCAGCCGTCCAAGTAGCTTCCAAGTAGCAGGCGCCACCACACCCGGCTAATGTTTTTGATTTACTGTAGAGATGAGGTCTCGCCAAGTGGCCCAGGCTGGTCTCAAACCCCCAGGCTCAGGCAATCCTCTCACCTCTGCCACCCAGAGTGCTGGGATTACAGACATGAGCCACCACACCTGGCAAATCTCATTTTTCAAAAGAGTAAAATGAAGACTAGGCAGAGGGGACAACTTGTCCAGTGTCTCCCAGCTCATCGGGGGCCGACTCCAGCTGGAATGGGAAGGTTATCAGGTCTGCACTGGGGTCTGAAGGTGCTGGAAAGATGTCTCCTTGATGGAGCCCTCAAGTGGAGAAACCTTGGAGTCAGACTGCTGGTCTTGGAGACTGGCTGTGCAGGGGCCAGTGTGAAACGGAGTTAGAAGTGGCAGGTGAATACCCCTGTGATTGTTCATTCATCTGTGACTCCAGGTGGCAGATACAAGGCGGGGGTGGAGGGAAGTGAACCCTTCATTCTGAAACCAGAGAACCCAGGGCTGGGGAAATAGGAGATTTTCCTCAAAGAACGCATTATCCACACTGCCTGAGGTTAGCAAAACACTGTGTCTTGATATGACAACACCAGCCGGAGTGGCACTTTTTGCCTGGGGCTTTACAGGAAGAAACAATGTGACATCCAAAGGCAGAATCACAGAACAGGGGACACAGAACAAAAACAGAGTCACAGAATCTCAGGGGTGCGGGGATCCCAGAGGTCATCCTCCAATCTTGCCCTATGCCTGACCGCACCGTCCTCTGGTTTCTGCTCAGCCTCCTTTATGCTAGGGGCTCGCACTAGCTGCTCCATCTTGGGTGGAGGATTCTCCTTTGGAGGAGAACGGATGACATCAGGTATGGCATATGTAAGGCCAGTGGCCATGGGTTGGGCACAGACATTATGTTGGGGCCCTGGTGTTTATTGGGTCGCTGTACACCCTTCTGGTGTCCCATGCAGGTGGGAGGGGCGGAAGGGCTGTGTGGAAGGCAGGACCCCCTCCCCCGACCTCAAGATGCTAAGGGACCCTCTTATAGGCCTTGCTGGGGCCTGAACGCTAAAGCCACCTGTCAGACAAGTGTAAGGCAAAGCAGTAGTCTACTTGTTATCTTAGAAAAAGGAATAAATCCAATGCTCACCCTGAGCCTACAAGGAGGGTGCAAGAAAGTCAAAAATAAATCGGCCTTCTATTCTCCTGGCCCGACTCAGAGTTCCCACCTCTGGCCCTTGGTTGCTTTCTAAAGAAGAAACAGATTCGGACCACCAAGATGGGGTGAGCAGGCATTCTCAGGAGGTGGGGTGACGCTAGGGCTTCTCTGGGTCTCAAAGACCCAGGTCTCTGGGGGCTGGCTGGACCTCTCTCACTCCCCCTGCCACCCCCCACCCTTGGTTTCTCCTAGGCCTCTGTGGGTGAGCCAGGAGGATTCATCTCACAGTCTTGGGCTGGGCCCGGGCTGGGACAGGAGCCAGGAAAACCAGCTGGGTACTGGGTTTGACCTCACTGCCAATGACACCCAAGAAAAGAGCTGCTTGTCCCTCTATCACCCCCCCGCCCCATCCCAGAATGCTGCCACCAGCTACTAGCATTGGCTCATGCTGGCCATTGGTGGGGGCACACAGGTGTAGACCACTTGTCTTTCTCATCCACCCACCCCCCAAAAGTATAATTGAGGCACACGTGTGATAGGTAGAACTCCACCCTCTGCAGGCAGACAGGTGCTTAGGCAGTGGTCCAGGGGGTGGCACCCGAGGCGCCCCTGACTGGTGGGTGGGAAGTCTGAGTGGACCACCAAGAAGTGCACATGGCCAGGCTCGGTGGCTCAACCTGTAGTCTCAGCACTTTGGGAGGCTGAGGCGAGTGGACGGCCTGAGCCCGCGAGTTCGAGACCCATCTGGGCAACTTGGCAAGACCCTGTCTCTACAATAAATCAAAAATTAGCCGGGCGTGGCAGCGCACGCCTGTAGTTTCCGCTACTTGGAAATCTGAGGCGGAAAGAGCGCTGGAGCCCAGGAGGTCAACGCGGGGGTAGCTGTGACGGTGTGTGCCACTGTACTCCAGCCTGGGCGACAAAGTGAGACTCCGACTCAAAAAAAAAATACTGGGAAAAAATTAGGGAGGGTGTTTCATATAATCTTGGAATGGAAAAAAGCTTAGCAAGAAATGAAACCCAGAAGCCATAGAAGAAAAAACTTCTAAATATGACTGTATAAAAATTAAAAATTTCGCTGGGCCCGGTGGCTCATGCCTGTAATCTCAGTACTTTGGGAGGCAGAGGCGAGAAGATAGCCTGAGCCCAGGGCTTCGAGACCAGCCTGGGCAGCTTGGTGAGACCTCGTCTCTAATAAATAAAAAATCAGCCGGGCAAGGTAGCACATGCTTGTAGTTCTGGCTACTTGGAAGGCTAAGGCGGAAGGATCACCAGAGCCCAGCAGGTCGATCCTGGGGTGCCCGTGAGCGTGCCATTGCACTCCAGCCTGGGCGATGGAGTGAGACTCTGATGCAAAAAAAAGAAAAGTGCATGCAGCTCAGGACCAGAGCTTAGTCAACCTCCGACCACACCACCAGCAACAGGAACCCCTATCCTTTATCTAATGTCTTCGTTTCCCTCAACTTTTTGCGGGGCCACATCCTCCAGTCTCTTAACCAAGTGACCATCTCAGTCTTGAACCGTTGGGCAAAGAGCTCACATACAAAGGATGCACAGCTTGGGAAAATCATTTCTTTTAATGACAGAGAAAGCACACCAATGTATAATAGAAGCCCTGCTGGGAGTTGCCACTGTACAAACGGATGCCGGGAGGCCCCAAACTAGCTAGACATTCACAGAGAATCCGCTGAGGTTCAGGAAACATCCACGCAGCATCTCCGAGGGTGCGGAGGAGGCAGGTGACAGCCACGATGGCACAATGGGCATCTGGACCTTGGACTCCCCTGCAGGCAGTTTGTTTTCTCCTTCCCCATTGGATAGTGGGGGATGGGGACGTTTGCAAATGACCACGTGAAAGAGAGGCCTCATGTATCAGCATCACAGAAGAGCCAATGCCATAGACAGATGTGGCCCCCCGCCCTCCCCCATGCTCCACGGGCCACACCCATGAAATGAGGTGACACGGATCCTCCGAACGACGGCTCAGGGAGCGAGTACGGCAGAAGGACAGCAGCTCCTTTGGAATCTAGGGTCTGGCGCAACTTCCTGAAGGCATGCCAGGAAATAGGTTTATCAGCAAAACTTGGCCATCCCAGCGGGTCAAAGTCATTCTCCTAGTCTTTACCGCATGTATCTAGGCTTCAAATGAAAGGACAAGAAGAAGGCTGCAACTGAAAAACTATTTGAAGTATTGTGGCACTTCACCCATCTCTTTTGCTTATAATATATGGCAGTGCCAACGGAACCCTGTGGATATAAACTTCCATTATAATAACCCTAGACTGTACACTCTCGGAATACAGAAAGACTCCATCTTACATATTTCGTCTTTAAAAATAATCTAACATAGTCATACTCTCTGGCTAGTAACAAACTATTAACATCTTCTGAGAATACAGAGGAAACTCTGGGATTAATAATACATTCTCTGACGTGCTCCCCCCACCCCCATCAGCATCATCTATGAACACATTTCTGTAAAAGCATTCCCCAAATCATCCGTAATTAGGAAAAGACATGGATAGGTTGGTTGCACCAAATGGACTTTTAGCAAGAAGTGATGGGAATGTTTTTTTACTTTGGCAAAAATGAAGCACAAACGTAACATTTCACAGGCTCGGGCCCATGCAAATGCATGTTTTGTTATGTGGGGGTATTTTATTCTGACCCCGAAACCACGATTAGCATGCAGGTTGTTTTCAACTATGGAGTTAGAGATACTTATTGGCAGTGCACCTCTTTTGTGTAATCATGACACTAAGGCAAGATTATTTCACCTTGTATAGAATATCAGCAGTATCTTATCAGATGCTTGTTTACACAGTGTGGACCTGCGACTTACTGTTTAAAAAAAAGAAAAGAAAAAGTCAACCTCAAAACACAGATCCCTAAACACAATTTAGTTGAAAATGAACTGTTAAGCTTTTAGAAATATATTTTAAACTACAAGACTGCCCTGTTGTTATTTTTTTATGAACATTTTAAAAAGTTCCCACCCCTAAAAATTTGCCAAATTATCTCCTCACTACGGGTCCCAGCTTCACCAGCTGGCCACCGTGGCTGACGCTTGCTGAGCGGCAGTCACCAAGGTCCTTCATGGGTGACACAATGCCTTCGGGGTCGGCATAGTTAAGTTCTCCAGCTGCCAGCCTGGAACCTGTGAGACCTTTAGGCCTCAATCCAACCACCGGGCAGGGGGGTCCCAGCAGTGGGGGTGCACCAGCCCCAGAGGTGCTTTGGGTTGGGGTTGGCTTGGTTGCCCTCATGTTGCCCTTCAAGCTCTGGACCCCGCCGGCCTAATCTGCAGACCAGTGGAATGTCCTTTGTTTCTCAACAGGAACACAGGGGAGCTGACGTTGCTTATTCAAGAGAAGCTGAGGCAGTAGAGACAGCTCCTAGGCCCAGCCACAGACAGACGCCAGGTGGAATTTGTATGAGTCTGTGCGAAGCCAATGTGGCAGGAGAACTGGAAAGTTCCCGGGAAGCATTCGCTGCACTGGGCGTTTCACACAATGGAACCTTTGGACGATGACAAGTGGATGGACTGAATCCTGATGGCCAACGTCCTCTGTAAGTCCTGGAGCACATCCTGGCCCGTCCCTTCTCCATTTTTGTCATATAGCAGCTGCTTGAAGGCTTCGTTTTCGATGAGGACCATCATGTTTTTGAGAAAGTAGCCTTCACAGTATGCTGAGAGCTCTGTGACGCCAAGAAACTGTGGAGAGTGGAGGGGGGGTGGGAGAGGGTTATGCGTCTGAAACGTACCTTGTAGACTATGCCTTCAGCTATCAAGATGGCGGACCCTATTAGGAAGACCGACTGCAGAAACAGCCTTGATTTCCCATCCTCTCCCTTGGTGCAGCCTTGGCGTGTGAATGTGGCTCCTCCCATCGAAGGGCTGGAGTCCATTCATTCCTCCACTCCTTTGCCTTGCGTAAGTCAAATCACTTCTCTGGGCCTCAGTTTCATTTAGAGCAGGGACAAGGTAATTCTGTGGTCTCCAAGAGACTTATAAAGCTTGATGAAGTATATCAGTGAGTGGGCTTGTGATCCCACAAATATTCACTTTCATTCTTTCAGCAAGAGCCCTGCTCTTAGAGTCAGAGTACAAGGCTTCCATGTACAGGTGGGGAAACTGAGACTCAGAGTTGCCTATCTATGATCCTGTGGACACAGGGAGCTCCCCACCCCAATACCCGTCACTTGCTTTGTAGGCAAGGGTCACTCTGCACAAGGTAATGTAAGTGGAGAATAACATGTACAATGAATACTCACATTTATAATATTTGGCAATATTGGTCAAATGGTGACTTTATACCCCTCACCTGCCTATCTCCAAACAACTCATTACTGATAGAACTAAGACTGGAGCACTCCTCTTCTAGAGCAGCAGTTGGCTAACTATAGGCCTGGGGGCCAAATATGGCCTACCACTTGTTTTTGTGAATAAAGTTTTATTGGAACACAGCCACTCTATTCATTTACATTATTGTCCATGATTGCTTTTTGTAAAATTGAGTAGGTACAAAAGCGACTGTATGGTCTGCAGAGGTGAAAATATGTATCTGGCCCTTTACAGAATATGTCAGCTGATTCTTGTCTTTGATGATTTTTTTCAAGGGCAGAGACCATGGCTTACTCATTCCTTGATATATGCTGATGACTACAACTCCTGGTAACTAGTGCGTGCTCAATAAACACTAGTGAATGATGTGTGTTCTTTTTGTCACAGGGCTGTTGAGCTCACTGCACCAGCTGAAAATCAATTTAATGAACCAGCTCATTTTTTTTTTTCTCAAGTTAAGAGACACCTGGAAAGGCCATCGGAAGCTCCAGGGCCTCTTCTCATGACTGAACAGGTTCAGACGGCTTTACTAGGAAAAAGAGATGGCTGAGCCATACACTTATGACATGACTTCTCTGCATAAGACTCCTCAGCTGTCTTGAACGGTCAGATGTGGTATGGGAGAGGCACAGCTGCAACATGGCTGCCAGCATCTAGATGCCTGCACTTCCTGGGCTTCAAACCAAGTGTTGCTTTCTTTCTTTTCATTCTTTTTACTAAATTAGCCTAGATTTTCAGTGCAATCTGCCAGCAACAGAACCCACAAGGCACGTGGCCATGAGCAGGGCTGCAGCACCCACAGCACAGGGGAAGCAGGCATAGAGAAGGCAGGAAGGGCTGGTGTCACCCTGCCATCTGTGTGGATATCACTAGGGGCAGATTATTTCTATAGGAGACATTCCAGGAAGGCCATGTCTGCAGAAGCCAAAGCTCTGGCTGCAAAGGTACCTATGTGAAAGAGGCAGATTCTTTGCTATAAGTGTTCTAAGCCCATATTCCCAGCCGTGTTCACAGGGTGGCGGGCTGCATTATTACACAACGAGATGTACCACAGAAGCTGCCTGCCCAGGAGTTTGGTGAGATCAAGATGGGACTGTGGAACGCAGGCTTCACTGCCAAGGTGCCAGGCCACAGAAGAGCCACTTGTGGACATTGAATTCATGGGGCAATTTGAGTGACCATGGCAGGGAAGGCAGAGGCTCACAAGGCTAATCAGACTCTCTCGGGTACAGAGAGAGTCGCTCTTCTGTAAAGTATCAAATATCATAATTTTAAAACAGCTTGTGTTTTGGGAAACTAGATTTTGGTAGAATCTTCACTTAATCAGGACACCGTGTGTGTGTGTGTGTTTACAAAGTAGACTGTACTTTTTGATTTACTGATGGTGAATCAGAAAATCCTTCTTGAGGATCAAGGTTTATTGAAAATATTATATTTCAAACATTTATTAGGCCAGGTGGGAAACACAGGGTTAAGAACCCGTATTTGGAGTGAGGCAAACCTGGATTCAAAAATCTTCTGGGAATATACCCAAGATAATTGAAAGCAGGACTTGTGCAGATATGTGTACATCCATGTTCATAGCAGCTTATTCACAATAGTTGAAAGGTGCAAGCAACCCAATCCAATCGACCACTAATGGATGGATACATAAAATATGGCATATATATACAATGGAATATTATTCAGCTTAGAAAGGAAAAGAATTCTGATGCATGCTACAACATCTGTGAACCTTGAAGACAGTAAGCAGAGTAAAACAAGCCAGTCACAAAAGGACACATATTGTCTGATCCCACTTATAGGAAGTCCCTAGACTACTCAGATTAATAGAGAAGGAAGTATAATGGTGGTTACCAGAGGCTGAGAGGAGGTGGTAATGGGGTATCCGTGTTTAAAGGGTATAGGATTTCAGTTTGGGAAGATGGACAAGTTCTGGAGATGGATGGTGGTGATGGTTGCACCACAGTGTGAATGTACTTAATGCCACTGAACCGTGCACTTGCAAATGGTGAAAGTGGTAAATTATATGCTATATCTATTTTATCCTCATAAAAAAGTCTCATTACCAGCTGTGTGACCTTAAGTGACCAAGGCAAGCTACATCACCTCTCCATGCCTCAGCCTCTCTATTACGACATGAGACCAACAACAGCATTTCCCAAATAAGGGTTGTAGTGAGGCCTAAAAAAAAAGTAGGTTGTTGGGAGCCAGCCTTGAAGGCCTGCCTGATTGACAAAGTCCAGGTGTGCTGAGGACCCCCGGCCGCAAAGTGAGTCCGGGCAGCTGAGGCCCTTCTGTCTTCCGTCTTTGCTGTTGGTACAGCTGAAGAAATTCTGTGCAGTCGTGGAAGAAGATGGCATGTTTATGCGAAGTACTCATAGCTAACCTGGAAATGTCACGGTTCATTTTTCCATTTTCTCACTATGCCGCTTGGCCTTTTCTAACATATGCAAGGGTTAAACTCTGAAGCACATCAAGAATGCTTTCTTTCACTTGGTTATAAGTTACTAGATATTGCTTAAGTAATAAATGATATAAGTATATTCACTCCTTATTTGATTTAGGATTATGTAGTTTAGTGTTTAGACATAAGGTTTTTTAGAAGCACAAGTTTATAGTAAGTTCATTATGAATTTATTATAAGTTCTAACACTTATCTAGGAGTTATGCAGGTGATTTATAACACTGTTTTCACTGACTTAGGATAAAGATGATCTTTAAGGTTTTTACTTAATTCAATAGTTAAAACTCTAAGTTAACATTTATAAAGTGGGTTTTCACTGAACTCATAATATACTAATCAGACACTTTTATGATAACTTAGCTAAGGACAGAAAGCAACCTTGGGGGTCTGGGAAACATTACTAAAAGCTTCTTTTGAGTTTTCTTTAGAAACAAGCACTGCAGGATAAGAGAAAAGTAACGGAGACACCTGGACAAGAAAGGCGATACAAGCTCTGAAGGTCATAAAGCCCCAGAAGGAGAACTACTGCTACATGAAGAACTTTACACTTGGAAACTTTCTGGAGACAGTTCAAGGACTGTAATTCGGGACTCTGGACTAAAACTATCATCTTTGGCCTTATGAATAAGACTCATTGTCTGAATGTTTACAGGGTTCTTGGTTTGTTGCTAGGACCACTAGATGGTGGTAACTTGTAGAGGATATGTACGTGAAGGAATTTTCTTTGTCTTGCCCCTTTACGAACGGTATAAAAGCTCTGTGTTAACTAACATTAAATTGTCATCTGTTCAGGAAGCAGGTGTCCGGGTATAAGATTTTCGTCCTTCGCCTATCTGTCTCTCCTTCAGGAAATCTCACGACCCTTGTGGGGCGGGCCCCCACAGGAGGTGTGACAAGGCTCTTAGCACTGGTGTCTGAACATGAAACGGTCTCACGGAATGCTGGTCAAGACAAGAAACTGACTTGGGTGTGGTGGCTCATGCCTGTAATCCCAGCACTTTGGGAGGCTGAGGTGGGAGAATTGCTTGAGACCAGGAGTTCAAGACTAGCCTGGGCAACTAGTGAGACCTCATCTCTTAAAAAAAAAAAAGACAGGAAATTACACCTCACACACACACTGATTTTCCGCATCCATCACATCAGCTGTGACCCCACAGAGTTGTGGACACAGAAGGCACAGGCACTGGGCTCCCGTTAGACAAAGGAAGTGCTGTAAACGAACTCATCTGAACCAGCTTCCTTGTTTCTTCCTAGCATCATTAATCCTCTGTGCTCAGCATGTGGAACATGATGCAGTGGCACCTGGACACATTATTTTACTTCTCTTGGTCCTAGTCTCCCCACTTGTGAAATGAATTGGATGAAATCAGTGCTTCCCGAAAACTGGTGTGAAGACTGGCCTCGGGCCGATGTCGCTGGGAGCTTGTTAAAAATACATTATTTCTGCCCTTCTCACCCCCCGCAGGGATATTCCTGTGGTCACTGAAGGGAGGGGTCCACGCAGGCATCCAGGAAGCTCCCTAGGAGATTCTGAGTAGTAGCCAGGTGTTGGGTGGAGCCCAAGAATCTCTCCTGTGCTGACAAACTGTTCTCAGCCTTGGCCACATCTGAGAATCACCCGGGAGGCTTTGAAAAATATCTTTTCCCCAGGTTCTGCTTCCAAAAGTTGATTTAATTGGTCTGTGATAGGGTCCAGGTATAGGGAGTTTAAGTGAGTTCCCAGGTGATTATAATATGTAGGAGAGAACATTCTAGAATAGGGGTTCTCATCCTTTTTTTTTTTTTTTTTTTTTTTTAGTTGGAGTCTCACTCTGTTGCCCAGACTGGAGTGCAGTGGCATGCTCCTGGCCACTGCAGCCTCGACCTTCTGGGCTCTGGTGATCCTTCCGCCTCAGCCTTCCAAGTAGCTGGAGCTACAGGCGCGCGCCACCACGCCTGGCTAATTTTTGATTTATTGTAGAGATGAGGTCTTGCCAAGTTGCCCAGGCAGGTCTCGAACCCGTGGGCTCAGACAATCCACTTGCCTCGGCCTCTCAAAGTGCTAGGATTACAGGCTAAGCCACCGAGCCCGGCCGGTTCTCATCCTTGAGCATGTATCAGAGTCAGCTGGAGGGCCTGGGGAGTCACAGGTGGCTGGACCCCACCCCTAGAGTTTCTGGTTTGCTAGGTCTGAGGTAGGACCTGGAATTTTACATTTCTAACAAGTTCCCTAATGATGTGGATGCCGCTGGATTGGAGAATCACTGTTCTAGAACCTTAGAAGGTGTTGCGTAGACCAGCAGCAGAGGCATCTCCCGGGAGCTTGTTAGAAAAGCAGAAGCCAGGGCCCAACCCAGGCTACAATGTAGTTCGGATTCACACGAGAGTTTGAGAAGCACTGTTTGAGAAGAACTCTGTTTTAGAAACTTCTGGGCTCCTACTTTCCTTGTATCCTGGAGTAAAGGGAGGATGAAGCAAGCACCTTTTCCAGCCTGGGAAGCAAGCCTCGGAGGGGGGCCGGCACCTGTTCTGTACCCTGACTCTGTTTACCCAGGAAGAGCCTCCCTGAGGTCAGCGTTCCCATGCGTGTCCCGCGTGGCGGGAATGGGGATGGATTACCTTGGCGTGGTTGTAAATATCCACACAGTTGTCAGTATTGATGCTTTTTGCACAGATAATCTCACAGTGTCGCTGCAAAGCCTCCAGCTGGAAAAACTTAGCAGCAGACAGAAGCTAAAAGCCATAAAAAGAGTCTGTTAGAGGCTGGGAGGTGGACGGGAAGTGAGAGCCAGGGAATTCAGGGGTGAGATGATCCATCTTCCATCACGGCGTCACAGGTGGGGGGACGGAAAATAAGGCACAAAAACAACACAAGTGGGACAAGGCAGTGACAGGACTCCCTGTGGCCAAAGGCGCTGGAGGGGAGCCGGGAGCGTGGGGGTCAAGTCCAAGTTCACACTCGTTGCAGCGGGAGCTCAACCCCAAATGCCCAGAATTATCATGTCTAGAAACAAGGGTGAGCATCAGGGCGTCATCAGCAAGAAGGGTATGGGTGTGGCTCCCTCCCTCGATTGACCACCTCCCTCCCGCCCAGCCATCCCCCCCCGCCCTGTCTTGCTCCTCCTCACAGCAGACGTGACGTCATGTCTGTCTCCCCCACTAGCGACCAGGAGGGCAGAGAGCTTTGTCCATTTCCGTCACTGCCGTATCCCAGCCCTGAGCTGGGGCCGCCGTGGGAGACACTCGACAGGGGTGTTGAGAACGACAGGCTTTGGGGAAGAAAGAGTTCAAAGGGAGGGTTCAAAGGACTGTTCCTGGGGATGTGGACTGGAGAGAGGCCAGCATGGGGCCAGGCAGCTGCTTTGTCTTACTAGCCCGTCCCCTGTGATTTATGTGATTTAAATGTACATGCACTGTTTTGAGTGTAAAATAATTTTACTTTTTGTTTTTTTAAAGGCTAGGCAAGTGAAGCAGTGGGAATGGAGAAATCGGTAACTGGTTGTGATCAGTTAGCTGTAAACACCAATGCCCTCGTACCAGCTAAAAACAATTTTTAAGCATGTTTACGAAAGAGCGTGCATCCTCAGACTGTAACTATGTTAGTCCGGAAAGACAAAAGAGTAGTTCTCTCTCTCTCTCTCTCTCTCTCTCTCTCTCTCTGTGGCAGGGTGGGGGGTTGTGAGTGACCCCGGAATGTTTCAGAGTAAGAAGAAAAGGATGCGTAAGGCCACACAGGGAATACACAGCCCTACTGACACTCACTTATAAAAACCTATGAAATCCTCTCAAAAACCCAATGAGGAAGATATTGTCATCTCCATCTTATCGTCAAGGAAACTGTGGCTCAGAGTGGTTAAATAACTTGACCAAAGTCACATAGCTCAGAGGTGGTAGGGCCTGGATTTAACCCCAGTCTGTCCCAGAGTCCCTGTTTTAACTGCTGTGTGGTATACGGGGATCTCCTCTCGAACAACTAGTTGTGTCCTGGCATCTCTAATCGGCCAGACACCCTGGACTTAAAAAATCTGAACAAAAATCCTGGCTGAGGATTACTGGGGTGATTTTTGGCTTCCAGGTCAGTGCTCCGAACTTTAAGAAAACTGACAAGAGTTCCATTTCTGGGAAAGAGCAAGAGGAAATCTTGGCCTTGGGAAGAACGGAACAGAAACAAGTCTCCTGGACAAGGGAAGTCAGGGCCTGTGAACGACATGAGGTGGACGGGGGGGCAGGGGGAGAGGGCATGCGGCAGGTCTGGGCACAGGTGTGCTGCATGAGATGTGGAGAGCCGGGTGGAGACTGTGATCTGCCCTTGGTCTCTGTGTCTTGGAAGAACAGACATCTGTGATTTGAGAAATGTTTTTAGGGCATGTAATTCTTTTGTAGATGGCAAGAGAGAAGAAGTCCTCCAGGGTATTTCCTTATGGTGCTATTAGAGCCTCAGCTACCCCAGAGCCAGAGTAAGCCTCAGGCTTTTTGGTCGATTTCCTTCTCTGGCTCACTCCCTAACTTCACTTAGACTTGGGTTTCATGCAGTGGCTACGGTAATGGTTCGGGCAAGCGTGCTAGCAACCCCAGCCTTCCAGGGATGGCTCTGATGAGAAGTCTTCCTGTTGGGGAGGACTAAGGAGTTAGGAAGGAACACGAGCCCAAAGCCCTCCCCCAAATGAAAACCCAGCAAGGGTCCCTCTAGATGCTGCCCAAATACCCTGGTGACCCGAGTGTACAGAGGTGCCACTTGCCCAGGGGGAGTCGGGAGAGGCCAGCGTCCAAAGGTTCCTTACCTCCATTATCTCGTTGTTTTTAATGAGAAGTGACTCTGGGCCACCGTAGTAGAGATACTGCATGACCAGCTGGAAGAAAGGTACACAGGAAACAGATTGTCAGCGGCATGGACACATCATCTTAACACTACCCAGTGGCCGTCTCCACCCAGGCGAGGTCTTGAGACCTCTGGAACATCCATTTCAAATGGCTGCCTGTTTCCATGTGACCAGCGCCAGTGATGGAGAGCTCACTACCTTAAAGGGAGAAGGTGCATCTTGAACTGTTTTTATCGGTCAGATAGCTAGTCCTGAAATTTACCTCCCTGTGGTTTCTGGCCCCCATTCACACTCACCCCCAAGGACAAATGACACAATCCAGACTGCTCCTTCTGAGGGCTCTCCCACCTAGGGATGATAACCACGTGTCTCCCTCCCACCTCCCACCCTGCTCATGCTGCCCAGAACTGCTGCACACGTGGCTTGAAGAACCTGCCCCAGCAGGTCATCGGTTTCACTGATAAAGTGAATGGCCCAAGCCAGGCTGTTCCAAGTTCATGATGACTCACGATGCCCAAATGGTGTGCTAAGTTCCAGAGCCTTGCAAACTGGGAATGAGGCCCACAGATGTGTCTGAATTTGCTGTCACCACCTCCCACGACAACCGAGTGTACTTTTTTTAAATTGATTTTACTTTTTTTATTTTAAAGATGTGGGGTACGATTCAGGGTTAGGTATACAGATGTTCATTATGCATGTACCCTTGTTGATGAGGTGTGAAGTGTTTTTTTGTTTTTGTTTTTTTGAATTGGAGTCTCACTCACTCTGTCACCCAGACTGGAGTGCAGTGGCGCTGGGTTCCGGCGATCCTTCCGCCTCAGCCTTCCGAGTAGCTGGAATTACAGGCACGCGCTACCACGCCCGGCTGATTTTTTCTGATTTATTGTAGAGATAAGGTCTCGCCTGCCCAGGCGGGTCTCGAACCCGCGGGCTCAGACAATCCACTCACCTCAGCCTCCCAAAGGCGCGGGATGACAGGCTGAGCCACCGAGCCCTTCTTGAGTGTTTGTTTTTTAAGTAGTGCGTACACTCTCCAGTTGTCTCAGTCTCCTCCACACCCTACTGTCTGCTACCTGGTTACTCGCGTTACCTCCCTGGCTCTAAGGCAGCTGTGTTGGCAAAATCTGTAGACTGGTTACACCCCCCTTTTGAGGTCTTGTAATATGAGAACTTGGGGAGGGCCACTCCCTACAATCCCTTCAGCTTCTGACAGTTGGGACCAATACAGGTAAGACCATAATGGCTAAGAGCGATTACCCTGGAACTGGGCTGCCTCAGGGTCTGACCTGGCTCTGTGTATCTCAGTCTCACCATCTGTAAAGTGGGGATAATATTACCCTCCTCACGGGGTTGTGAGAAGGATTACATGAGTTACTACATGCACAGGGCCTAGCAGGGGGCCTGGCTCTTGGCAGGCACTCCATACATGTTCGCTTGTTAATTTTCTCTGAGGTTGAAAAGCCTTTTTCCACGTGCTTCTGCACGGGCTGCCTCTCACCCAGGACATTGAGACTCTGTGGCTGGTCTTAATCTACTTTTTGCATGTGTGTTTAAGTTATTTTTAAAAATACTGTGTACAGCTTTACTGGAATGTTTTTTACATAACAAAATGCACCCATTTATCGTGCACAGTTCAATGGCGTTTAGCGCACATTCGCGATGTTGTGTAGCCATCACTACGATCTCCTCTTAGAGCATTTTCAACACCCCTAAAGGCACCCCTAAAAGCAGATTACCCAGCAGTAATCACTTCCATATCCCCACCCACCAGCTGTGACAGCCCTCACAGGTTTGCCCATTCTGGACATTTCATGTAAGTGGAAACATACAACATGTTCTCTTCTGTGTCCAACTTCCTTTACTCAGCATGGCGTTTTCAAGGCCCCCCTGTTGTCACATGCATCAGTGTTTCAGCTTTTATACTGCCAAACAACGTCCCCTGTGTGGCCACAACACATTTTGTGTATTTGTTCATCAGCTGATGGGCATTTGGGTTGTGTCCACTTTTTTGGCCATGATGAGTATTGCTGTATGAATTTTTTTTGTTGTTAAGAGACAGGGTCTTACTCTAATCCAGGCTGGAGTGCAGTGGGACGATCATAGCTCACTGCAGCCTTGATCTCCTGGGCTCAAGTGATCCTCCCATCTCAACCTCCTGAGTAGCTGGGACTGCAGGCACATGCCACCACGACTGGCTAATTTTAATTTTTTAAAATTTCTTTTATAGAGACAGTGTCCTGCTATATTGCCCAGGCTGGTCTCAAACTGGCCTCAAAGTGTCCTCCCACCTCGGCATCCCAAAATACTGGGGATTACAGGTGTGAGTCACCCTGCCCGTGGCTTGCTATTAATTTTTGTATGTCAATTTCCTTTCTTGGATCTCATCTGCCTAGTCCTCCACCCCCTACTGCCCTTCCCTCCTCCTGATCTCACCTGACTTTTATGCTCTGACCACTCCCAAACACTTGTCTGTGTCAGAACCTCCCACCTCTTTTGCAGTTTCATGTTTTGGCCCACATGGGTCGCTCAGCTGGGATGCTCTCCCCTTCCTCTCTGTCTCCTGAACTCTGCCCCTTCCTTTTGGGGTTTAGTTTGGTGGCCATCTCTACTGGGAAGCCTCTTATATCTCAACACTCCCCATCCCATCCCGTGACCCATGGGCAGCAACTGTGGTGCTATTTCTCACTAGAGTCTGAGGGCGCAGCCTGGGTCTTGTTCACTCCTGCATCTAGTGTCTAGCACAGTGCCTGGCACACAGCAAGCAAAAGCATGCAGCGTGCACCCCACCTTGTGTGGGAGTCTCTGAGGTTTGACTGTGGACTTCTGTGACCATCTGCCTGTCACCAAGATGGTGGTGCATGGATGGGGGTGGCGGCCAAGGCTTTGGGAAATAACAGCAATGTTCACCATCCCCTCTCCCCCCAGTGGATCATAAGCATGTAAAATACCAAGGCAGTGAATGCTGAGACAGGGGTCTTACTAAAATCAATTCATTCCCCTAGCATCTCTCGTTTATGAAGGCCAAACCCATCATAATAATGGTAAGTGCTGGGAAAATGGTTGCTCTGGACATTTACAAAGCGTGTTTCTAGCACGTTATCTGTTCTATTCCAGGCAGGGCTGTAAAATGCTGCTCCTTGGCAAGGGAGATCAGGACCAAAGGAGTTTAAGTAGGGCTATCCCGTGCTCCCGTCAGACTCTGCCAGCACAAGCCTTTCTGCGAGGGGTTGAAGCGAGCCCTCGTTAGGCCAAAGGGCCTGCCTGCCGCGTTGTTTTTCTTGGCAGCTGCCAGTCTGCATGAAGCAGGGATTCAGATGGTGCCCAATGCCTCGTGGAGGCCCGGTTTCCAGGTGTGGCCCCAGCTGGGCCCGTGCCTGCCTGCCTGCCTGTGACGCTAAGCAGGCTTGGGGAGAGGAAGTCCAAAGCAGGCTCTTGCTAAAGCTCTCCAGTCAGCCCGGGGGCCAAATGAGCAGGCCCCTGGGAGCCTCCTTCTGGGTTGCACACAGCCCTCCTTGGCCTATTTCAAGTCACAAATGAGGCTTTTCTTCTTCTATGGGGAAGGGGCAGGCATGTGGAAAAGTCCCTTGGGCCTGTTCAACCTTCTCTTCCAATCACAGCAGCCTGAGGCCCATGTGGCAGGGAAGCCTTCCCAGTCAGGAGCAGTTACAGGCCGCAGGGTTCCTCTGAAGCTGCCCTTTTCCAGGCGGGCCTCTCGTTCAGAAGGTGCGCTTGGCACACGTGTATTGAGTGCCCACTACCAGCACTTAGGACAGGAACCGCCCCAATTAGTCCCGCTTGATGGCATCAGCGCCCCCTTTCGCCAGCACCCAGAGGGCGCGTGTTCCACCATCCAGCTTATGCTCCAAACTCTGATGGCTGGAAGATTGTTTCCTCAGGGCAGGGTGAGTTTGGAGGTGGGGGCAGTGCCCACGGCAGGGAGGAAGTTAAGAGAACAGGCCTGGGAGTCAGCCAGGCCTGGGCTGGAACGAACCTCAGCCCTGCTAGGAGCAGCGGTGGGAACTTGACTCTACCTCTCTGAGTGTGTGCCCTGGTCTGTAAGGTGGGGCCGACAGCTACCTCACAGGGGAGCTGGAAGGATCCGATGAGGCGAGACAGCAGTGACTCTCAGAGTAGGGTCCCTGGAGCGGCAGCAGCACACCCTGGGTTCATTAGAAATGTGAATTCTCACACTTACAAAATCACTCTGGGGGCAGAGCCCAGGAATCTGCACTTAACAAATTCCCTGTGTTTGAACAAGCACCCTCCCCCCCCCCCCCCCCCCCCCCCCGC